CAGTGTCCCTTTAGAAAAGAGGCCATGTGAACTGGGACCTGGTAGGGACCAGGTCAAAGAAACAGTCTTCCAGTTGGAGGGCACTGAGGAGCAAAGCAGCAATTAGGCCAGAAGAGGACCCTCCCAGAGAAAGATGGCTGAAGTCAATGGAGACAGAGGTCATGGCGTGAGGCTGGTGTCATAAATAGAGTTCAGAAATCTCCAGGGATCAAGAGAATTTGGATGGAGAGAATCTAAAACCATTTATACCTACCATTAAATGGTGCACCGCCAGTTAAGCCGGGCAGCACTGCGTTATGCAGAGCTACACAGATTTTTGTTATTGCAGGACTTCTCAGAGCCTTTACGATTCTGCCATACACTGTGAGTCTTCAAAAAGGGAGCTGAAGCACTTCCCGCACTTACTTGTCCTTGGGACCTTGGATTTTGCAAGGACAGCCTTCTAAAACTTAGGGGAATGCCAGAAGCTTCTCTCCAGGTTAGAGCCATTATGCACCCACAAAATAGGTCAGTGGGTCAATTCTATTTCAGGAAATGTTATGTGCTCTAAAATTTCAGTGGGTTAATACATTGCATAATGATTACTGTTACTCAAATTCCAGTGGTTTGAAGGGCTCCCGACAGTAATAACCTGTAAATGTCTTTTCAAAGTCAGTGCTGTGAGACCACACGGCAAAGGCAGTAGTCTCCCGAGATGACAGTGAGGTCACACATCAGATTTGCTTCCATTTAGGAAATGAGCTGGTTGTACGGGGGGGGGGGGGGGGGGACCAGTTGCAAAGCAGCTTATTCACAGGTGTGCCGTGGCCCTTGTGCAGGACTAGAGCTTGTCTCCCCATCCCAGCAACCCAATCTGTAGGTGCCTGTGAAGCGAGAGGCCTGGAAGGAGCAGGGTTCTCTGTCTGGTGTATCTCCTTTACATTTCCCCTAGCTCTTCCCACGCTGTTCTTCGTACTTCAAAGAGAATTAATTCAGCCATCTTGGGGGGAGAGGGCGGGAGATAGAATGGGCTTCGCTACCATAACATTAGCGTTTGGAAATTGTCTGTGTTATTTATTTATTTATTTTAAAGATTTTATTTATTTGACAGAGAGAGACAACAAGAGAGGGAACACAAGCAGGGGGAGTGGGAGAGGGAGAAGCAGGCTTCCCGCCGAGCAGGGAGCCCGATGCGGGGCTCGATCCCAGGACCCTGGGATCATGACCTGAGCCGAAGGCAGACGCTTAACGACTGAGCCACCCACGCGCCCCTTAAAATATATTTTTAGGTAAGGAATTTGCCCAGTTCGGTTCAGAGGGGTGGTGCTTACAGTTTTTAACTGAGAAGGTTTGTAATCTGAAAGTTTCCTACCTGGCTGTATGCCAACCTATATATTTGGCGAGTCCTTCTGATGTGTTCCCCTCTCTATTATTTACGTGTAATTCTTTTTCATTTGATGCGTTCTGCCTGTCTCTTTAAATCTCTGTCCTGCCTTTATCATGTGCAGCTATCCGTTTTCACAGGCCTCCTCTGCTTATTTCTCCTTGACAGGTCCAGCTTTAGATTGCAGGAGCCCGAATTTAGTTTCCCTGCCCGATGTTCAGAAGGGCACCGGCAACAAACCTTGCCCCATTGAGAAAACATATTTTCATTCATGTCTTCGCAGCCTCTCCCTCCTGGCCTTGCTTCTTCTGTGAGGTGCTGTTACTCAGCTTGTCAGAGGACGGGAGAGGCTCCAGCAATGAATGAACTAATGAATGAACAGAGCCTCAGTGCAGGGCGCAGGCTGCTGGGGAGCCAGGAGAGGCTGATGTGCATTTCCGTGGTGGGGGCTGGAATGCAAGCAGATGTCTTCCTGCTGTGTCTCCAGGCTCCACCTCCTCACGCTCCCTTCCTCTCCTTCCCCACTCCTCTTTCAGGTCACACTGCTCTTCTTGGCCACCTTTTTCTTCCTGTGCAGCATATATTAGGGAAGTCACTCCGATTCATCCTCATCTCTATAATTTACGTGCAATCCCTTTCTCCTTCTCGTTGTTTTAAAATATTTCTCCTCCTCCTCCTCCTTCTTTAAATCCCCACCTGCGTTCCTCTTCTCCCTTTTCTGGAACTATCTTTGCAGTTTTTTCCCAATTACCCTATTGCCGTTGCCACCCACTCTATGTATAAAGTCATACACAGCCCTTGGAACCCAAGAACCCAGTGGAACCCAAATAGCTCCCCTCAGTTCCTGTGCATCTTTCCCTGCATCATGACTAAGATTCTGAGTAGATGGGAGGGACAGCTGGACATACACCTTCTTGAAATTGGTGTGTGTGGGGGGGTGCCTGGGTTGGGGGCGCCTCAGTTGGTTAAGCGTCTCCCTTTGGCTCAGGTCATGATCCCTGGGCCCCCCCGGATCGAGCCACTGTTGGGCTCTGTGCTCAGTGGGGAGTCTGCTTCTCCCTCTGCCCCTCCCCCCTGCTCGCGCGCTCTCTCTCTCTCTCTCTCTCTCTCTCTCTCTCTCTCTCTCTCCCTCTCCCCCTCTCCCCCAAATAAATTTCTTTCAGATTGGAAGGATAAAATGTCCTGATGAAGAATAAAAGAAGTTGGAAGGTACTTTAAGATCTAGGTGTCTCCCAACTGCCTCTACATGCAGATTGACAACCACCCCCCACCATAGTCTACTATTTTATAAATAGCACAGGCTGTAAGCCCCAGAGTCCGAAAAGATAGTAAATCCTAAATCCTAGACTTAACCGCGCTAGCCCTGTGGAATATTCTGGATGTAAGTCTCCTGCTGGTGAACGGTGGAAACATTTGCAAGTTCATTTTTTTTTCAAGATTTTATTTATTGAATTGACAGAGAGAGAGAGACAGCAAGAGAGGGAACACAAGCAGGGTGGGTAGGAGAGGGAGAAGCAGAATCCCCGCTGAGCAGGGAGCCCGATGTGGGGCTTGATCCCAGAACCCTGGGATCATGACCTGAGCCGAAGGCAGACACTTAACCGACTGAGCCACCCAGGTGCCCCTGCAAGTTCATTTTTATTAATGATCCCAGCTCAAGCTGAAATACCCTGTATGGCCTTGGAATACATTTAATATGATGATATAGAATTTAGTACCAGAGAATCAATGTCTTCAGGGGAATTCCATTAGAGAGAAGGTCAAGTCTGTATCGAGTTTAGTGTTCATTGATAGCGGAGGACACGTGTACATGCAGACAGAACAAGATGGCCAGAGAGGAATGCATTGAGTTCCAGATAAAAGCTAAAAGGAAATGATCTTTTGAAAGCCTATAAACACTTCGTGTACCCCAAGCCAGCTTCTCAACTCTTCCATTTAACATTTTTGTTTCCAAGTCTCCTTGGAACGTTTTGTCCTCAGACATGGAAGGATTCTGGCTGCTAACCAGGAATAAAACGTTAAGTTATTGAGGTCAGTCATTGATTTTTCAAACTTTGCTCGTCTCAATCCAGGAGGTTCCATGGATATGCCTCACCAGCCATCATGCCCCTATATAACGCACTATTTGTAGAAAGAACTCTGGTGCCATTTAAAAAGCAGTTTGAACTACAGAAACATATCACCTCTCCGATCCTTCCTCATCCTGGAACTCTATGAAGAAGTGTAATCGATGAGACAGGAACTGCTTGAAAAAGCGATTTCCCAAACTTCCCACACTTGCACCTCCTCCATCTCCTCAACCATTCTCCTTATAATATGCTCCCCTTTAAGTTAAAGTGGACTCAAAATAAGAGAATTTTTAGAATACCCTGTGACTTCCATTACATCCCCTACAGTTCCTTGGGGGCCTCATTGATGTGTTTATTTACTTTTTTATTGGATTTGAATTTTTTCTCTACTTACTGAAAAAGTAGATGTTTATTATAAAATACAGGCATTATAAAAATGTGTATCATGGAAAACGAAAAGACCTCATGATTTCTACTGCTCTCCTCCATGAGAATATTTTGGTGTCTCTCTGTCCATATTTTCTGTGCATATACTAATGTGCTTTTTTTAACATGCTTTTCTTTCCTTTTTATAAAACTGGATCATCCTGTTTTACACTTTACTTTTTTTGAAGATTTTATTATTTTTTAAGATTTAATTTATTTATTTGGAGAGAGATACCACAAGCTGGGGGAGGGCGAGGGAGACTGAGAGAGAGGGAGAATCTTTAGCAGATTCCCCTTAGAGCTAGGAGGCTGATGTGGGACTCGATCTCATGACCTTGAGATCATGACCTGAGCCAAAACCGAGAGTCCCGACGCTCAACCGACTGAGCCACCCAGGCGCCCTTTTAAGATTTTATTTTTAAGTAATCTCTACACCCAGTGTGGGCCTCAAACTCACAATCCAGAGATCAAGAGTCAGATGCTCCACCGACTGAGCCAGCCAGGCGCCCCATACTTTGCTTTTTAATGGCTTTAGAGTTCTCCACAATGTACTTAACCAACCCTCTACTGGTGGACTTTGGGTTGCTTCTGTGTCTTTTATAAGACCAGTGATGCAGTAATGAACAGTTTTTCATTCCTAATATTTTTTACACCTGAGAGTTTATGCCCTTCCTTGCGTCCTGAGCAGGGTTTTGAATGTACTTCACAGCAGGAATTAAACCATCATATTTAAAATCAGTTTTTGGAAATGATTGTTATTTGAAGGGTACTAGGATATTTTGGCATTTAAAGGAATACCACTGTGAATTTCTTAAATGAATAATTATTTCCCCAGTGTGTCTTTCGAGTAAACTTTTTTTCTTCTTCTTCGGGCTCGTTTGAGGTAGGGCACATCTGTCATTTGGCAGATGCACACAGCCATATTTGCCCTGCTCTCAGTGGCCACAGGACACACTGAGAAGCAAAACCTGCGCCTTTGTCACCACCACCCCTGACTGAGCCCTCAACTCCACTAAAAACAGTCATGTGATTTCCTAATGCTCAAGAGGTGGCAGGATGTAGGGTCAAGGGCATGAACTTCCAAACCAGACAGCTTGAGCCGAATCTCAGCTCCATCATGTACATGTGATGTGATTTGGGCCGATGACTTAAGCTTCTCATGCCTTTGTTTCTTATCTGTAAAGCGAGGGTAATAATAGTACATCCCTCCTGGAGTTATGTGAGGGTTAAGAGTTAAGAAAGAATTATTATATATCAAATACTTGGAATGGTACCATACTGTTATCATCATTACCTCAGTGTTGTGTCATGTCTGTCTCAGACGGGACATGAGGAATATTGACTGTGGTTACCTTACATCATCATTTTGACCCAAAGATAATACCAAAACTTCCCCTGGGTTAAGAAACATCATCATTTTGACCCAAAGATATGCCCAAACTTCCCTGTGGTTACCTTGCATCATCATTTTGACCCAAAGATATACCAAAACTTCCCTAGGTTAAGAAACACCTTGGTGGCTCCGTCAATAAAGCCTCCGACTCTTGAACTTAGCCCAGGTCTTGACTTGGGGTCGTGATTTCAAGCCCCAGATTGGGCTCCATGCTGTGTGTGGAGCCTGCTTTAAAAAAAAAAAAAAAAAAAAGATAAAGGAAAAAAGGAACACCTGGGCAATAATAAATGTTGGCAAGCATGTGGAAAACCTAGAACCCTCATACCCTGTAAAATGGTGTCGTCAGTTTGGAAAGCCAGGTGGTTTTCCAAAGCCACCAAAGCCATATGGCTTACCATATGACTCAGCCGTCTTACTCCAGGGGTATACCCAAGAGAAATGAAAATGTATGTCTACACAAAAACTTGGCAGGAATGTCCACGGCACCATTATTAATAATAGCCCAACAGTAGAAACAAATGTCCATCAGCTGATGAATGGATAAAGTAAATATGGTATATCCGTAGAATGGAGTACTTCTCTGCCGTAAAAAGGATGCTAATTCAGAGAATCCAGACACAAAATACCACATATGATATGATTTCGTTTATATGAAATGTCCAGAAGAGACAAATGAGAGAGTTAGAAAGGTAGATTAGTGGTTGCTTAGGATGTGCAGTAATGGGGAGGTAGGAGTGGAGAGTGACTGCTCATGGGTATGGGGCATTTTCTTAGGGTAAAGAAAATATTCTAAAATTAAATTCTGTTAATGGTTACACAGCTCTGAATATACTAAGAACCACTGACCTGTAGACTTGAAATGGTAAATAATATGGGATATGAAAAAGCTTTTTAAAAAAGAAAAGAACAGGGGCTCTCGTGCTCTCTCTCAAATAAATAAGTAAAATCTTTTTCTTTTTTTTTTTAAGATTTTATTTGAGAGAGAGAAAGACAGCCCAAGTGGTGGGGAGGGGCAGACGGAGAGGGAGAGGCAGGCTCCCCACTGAGCAGGGGGCCTGATGCAGGGCTCGATCCCAGGATCCTGAGATCATGACCTGAGCCGAAGGCAGACGCCCAACCTGAGCCACCCAGGCGCCCCTAAATAAGTAAAATCTTAAAAAAAAAGAAAAGAAAAGAAAAAAGAACACAACAATCAAGTCCTGGCTTCAGGCATGGGCCCTGGGGGCTCCACCGACTTTCTGAGAGCAAGTCACCAGTCCAGGGGCCTGGAGTCCATTTTTAACAAGCCCACCAGAGGAGGCATCATTAAGAAAGTTTAAAAAATCTACCGTGAGAGAGAATGTGATTTTTTTACTTTACTTGGTAAACTGATGGAGGGCAGGATCAATACGCTTTCAGCTTATGGTTTTCATCATGCTCTGGGAGCTGAGGGAGGATGGCATGACCATAATGGTGATCCTCATCATGAATGGTGCTCATTCTTCCAGAAGTCTTGCCGCTGCACGTCTCTGAGGTGCAGCCCCCGAGAGAGCCTCCGACTCCACTCCCCAGACCTGGTCTCTACAGCCACCATCCACTCTCCCTGTGCACCTGCAGGGCCTGCAGAAAGGGCTTCCAGCACCACCCAGAAACTATGAAATTCCCACGGGCTTGTCCTTTTCTCTTTAAGAGTTGCTTACATTTAGTTTTCTTCTCGTAAGTGTTTCTTATTGCCATAGCAACCCTAATCAATCACTAGACTAAAAATAGCTCTTTCATTTTTCCAAAGCATGTCTGTAGTGAATTGAAAATCCAGCCCTGCCGGTGCATTTTGCATAGGCTGCTCTCCTTTCCCGACAATGAACCCAGGAGTGCTTGGTCTGGAAATTATTCTCGCAGAAGCCCAGGTACTTCACTTGTTTTTCCTGGCATTCTTCTTCCCGACTGCAGATTCTCTCATCACTTCCCAGAGATACAAGTACACACGTTTCAGTGTTCTGCAAAGAACCCTCGCCTTCCTGCACATTTGGCTTTGGGTGCTAGAGATTTCACAGGTACCTGATGAGCGCTGTGTCTGCCATTGCGGATGGAAGGCAGATTAAAGGTACTGGGTACAGAAGAAGCTGGTTGTAGCAGGGACACATGATAGCAGCCCTAGTGAGACTCTTTTGGCCCTGGAGGATCTAAGCTAGAAAATCAAAGAGGAGATGACAGGAGAGCTTTGCCTCATTTCTCTGATTTCCCCATGACACTGCTACTATTTTTAGGGGGTTAGGGGCAAAACAAACTCTGCATGTAATAATGTGAATATCTGTTAGATTCTCCTGGCCGAGCTGCTTTTCTAGGCAAGAAGAGAGGTGGGGGGGGGGGGGGAAGATTTTTCATGAGAAAGAAGATTCCAGATCTTGAATGGGCCCAGGGGAGGAAGGAGAGCAGGGAGGGGCTGAAGTGACTCATGAGGTCCCCCAGGCTCCGGGGGATTAGGGCACTTTATTGCCTCTCTCCCTGCCTCATCCTGCTGCTCAGAGTCACTGCCCCAATCTTCCGCCTGTAAGCAGGGTCATCTCGGGGGACCCCTGGGGCTCCCAGATGCTGTTTTTTTTGATGCTATTTCTCAACTTGTCTGAGCCTCGGTTTTTGTGATAAGGCTGAGGGAACGAGCAGGCATAAAGCCTTTTACATCTAGGAAAGCAGAGAGTCCACAGGGATCCTGGTTGTGTTCTTGTTTCCCTGCCTGAAGTTGGCAGGGGGTTGAAGAAAGCGGGGCAGAGGTCAGGGTGCCAGGCCTTCAGGATAGAGGAAGACAGGGAGGATGTCGCTGGACAGTTGCACGTGTCCTCAGCCACACAGCTGGGAAGGCGGCAGAGTGAGGCTGGGAGAGCGCACACCTGCTCTGTGGCGTGGCCACCATCCACGTTTTGGGAAGGCCCCATCAGGTGTCCCTGCAAGTCCACAGCCTCCCCGTGTGTCCGTGCATGTATGCAAGTGAGGATCTCCCCACCCCAGCCTTTTCCTTCCCACAGAGCCTGTGGGGTTCCGTGGGGAGGGGTGCAGTGGGCTGGGCACCTGTCTCGCCAGACACTGCCTGGCCCTTCGCTAGGGCATTTTGTCTTCACCCCACAGTGATGAGGTTGGTATCGTGCCCGTTTTATGGATGAGAAGACTAAGGCTCAGAGGGGATCGAGGAATTTCCTTGGAGTCACACAGTTTGTGAGAAAAGCAGCTGGGGTTTGAGCTAATGTCTGTTTCACCCCAAAGCCTATATTCTTTCTACTGTATTCTTGCTTCCAATGGGTCTAGGCGGGTCCTGCTCCGTCTGGATGCCCGCTCCTGGCAAAGCTTAGTGCCATCAGTTACTGGCAAACATCACCCTGGGCCGTAAGTAGTGGTCATGGACAAAGCCGTTGACATCACAGCTGGAGCTACTAAGTTAGGAGAGCACAGATTCCCTGTTTTTCTGAGACCTATTCAGACTTCTGTGGGAGTGATTTTTCTATGCAGATGAAAGCCAAACGGGTGATTCTCGAGGTTAGGTGGTATTATTGGTTTTTCTATCACTGCATTAACAAATTTCCCACAAACTTAGCAACTTCAAACACAAATGTATTATCTCAGAGTGTGCTGGGCCCAGGTTAGCTAGGCCCTGGCTCAGAGTCTCATTAGGCTGGGCTCCAATCTCATCTGAGGCTCAGGGTCCTCTTCCAGGCTCCTCGGTTGGCAGGTGTCGGTTCATTGCTGTCATAGGACAGAAGCCTGGTTTTCTAGTTGGCTGGTCTCCAGGGGTCTTTCTCAGCTTCTCGAAGCTTCCCTGGCTCTAGCTACATAGCCATCTCACCACGTGGCCGCTCACTTCTTCCAAAGCGGCCGGAATCTCTGCTTCTTCAAAAAAGAAGTCTTACATAAAATGTAACATCATCTGATCACCTTGGTAATCTAATCAGGGGGGCTCCTATCCCGTTATTCTCACAGGTCTTGCCCACACTTTAGGGGAGGGATCCGGCAAGGTGTGTATCCCAAGGGCTGGGAGTCTTGGGGGGCCACCTGAGAATTCTGTCTGCCATGAGTGTTTTAGTCTTTCCTTCATGGGCCACAGGGGACTTCAAGCGTTCAGTGCTCCCAAGTGACTGTGCCCTAGAGAGCATAGGAGTCTTCTGAATCCCTTGACGCCTCCCAGTTTTAGCCAATGCGTGGCACTCCTGATGTCTCCCTTCAGGAGAGACACATTCCAGTTGGTGGCATCAAGCTTCCCAATTCTTTTTTCTGCTCCCACACTTCCTTCAGTGATATGGAATCTCCCTCATTGATAGAAATGTGTCAGCATCTTTAGGGGATACCACGTGTTTTGAGAAAGTCCAGGGTTGGAAGGTGAGGTGCTCCCTTTGCAATAGTTGAGGGTAACCAGGTGAGATGGTATGTTCCTAGCTGGATCAAAGCCCTTAGTCACAGAAAGCAGACCTGCAACAGAAGCTTTAAGGCCCGAATGTCTGGGGGACTGTGGCAGTGACAGCAGGGAGTGGGGAGGAATCCTCCTGAAGGAGATGTTGTAGCTTACCTTCTGGCTGGTGAGCCAGACACACAGTCAGCTAATTGTGGAGATAGAAAAGGAGATAAGTGTGTGACAATGGTACGAACAGAATGCTTCCTATACACATGGGATCGTCATTCTGACATGGGATTTGAGATGGTCTGTGGGTAAGATTTAGGAAGGAGACTTCAGGTTGAGAGAACTGTGGGCAGAAAAAAAAAAAAAAAAACCAAAAAACAAAACATGGCAGCCAGAT